TTAGCAAATTACACAATGTACTTCATTACTGAATTAGCAACATTTTATGGACTAGCTAAATTGCACAAAATAATATGTTTAATAGCCAAAACAGACAAGGATTTACAGTACTTCTGTGGCCAAAACGCCTGGGCACTCCTGGTCTAGTCATGTAACTATGGAGATAAAAAGAGACCTACATGATGTAACTAAGTCACTATTGCTTATCAAGATCAACCTAGGATGGTAATTCAACCAATGTTACTACATTTGTGTAGATTATCTTTTGTGTGCACATTTATATTCTGTAGAAACATCAGTCCAAGGACATGTACAGTAAATCAAACGAGTACTACCGGTAGTCATACAATATGATACAAGTATTAATATTAGTGTGTAGACAAACAAACCAATATATGGCAGTGTTTTGGCAGGTAAATGATATATCACTGCAGATTTAAATTCTATGTTCATATCTAATTTTGGATTACATATTTTGAAGTATTGAAGGTAAATGAAATATTCACTGTAGTATGAAGTTGAAAATTTTTCCTTACCTCCATGACCACAGTAAACAAGCAATTAAAAGAATGATACCCTAGATTGTATGTATCCCTTACCTGAACAAATAAGTGAAATCGGTAGGCACTCAAAAAAAGTATCTTCGATTTGTGTATCCCAGAAAAGGGTGACTGTCAAAGCACGTAAAACGGTTAGATTTAGAAGGAAGTACGCTGCATTATTTGCCTTTACGTCTATTTTTTGTGCACAACTTCCTGGTTCGTGTTGTTGTCTATTCATATGCAAATATTGACAGACCTGGGAGTGAAATTTGAAGAGCCGTATTGTCTCCGGTATACCACCAGGAATAAATATGTTTTTAAATTCATGTATCGAAAAACATGGACGCGCTACCAATATTAAACACAAATAGAAATACAAACACTAACATGACGATAATACATTTTTTACAGTCCACTGTTTCTTTGTTTATATACATATTTTTTGAGGGAAAATTGAAAAGTATGCTTACCTTCGCGTCATAACGTTATTCCCAAAACACAGTTGGTGGATTTAATTGTCAAATTCGACTACACGAGGACAAAAACTACTACAGATTCAAGGTAAATTTGGTGTGTTACAGTAGCAGACGAACGAATTGATAGGAACTTCACCTTTGACCTTATGCCTCTTCACGCCCTCAACAGTTGAGTCTACTTCCGCTTAACCGAATAATATAGTTTGAATGGGATTAATGCGCTTTTGACAACAACAAACTTCCCGACATATGGAACCACATGTTAGTGCACATAACCCAAGTTGCAAGTGCTTCTTATGCAAAAATAAGAAATTAGCAGCACATTTGTGTTTTTTTATTATTTATTACAATAATTTTGTGACTGTGAAATACATTGTATGGCATATCGAATAGTTTGAATTCCAGAATTGAATTGTAAAGTTGGGTTTATTTTAATTTGTTACATCATTTGGGGGGGGGGGCATTAGTGTTTTGTTTTAAACTGCTGTGATGCAGCTTTATTATATATAGCATATGCACAATTAACAGACTTGTGTCGATAGGCAATCTAAGCTGTATTTTATTGATCTGGTGTACTTCTATTGGATCTATGGTGTTTCTAATAGAACAAATAAGAGAAATGCTTATAGTGTTGGGTCTCTCAACCATAAATGATACATTTCTTGAAGAGTGGGCTAAAAAACTCTGGGCTATGACAGAAAAATTGTGAAAAGTAATTGTTTTTCCTTCTTAGTTTTGTTTTTTAGTTTTTCTACACTGCATGGAATATTTTTTCTCCAAAAATTAGGTATGCAGATTTTTTTTTTTTCATTGATTCTTTTCCAGGATTTTTTCCTGTGCCAATTTTTTTTTTTTTTAATTCTGTCATCGTCCTTGAGCCCCAAGTTTTTTAATGGTCAACCTCTTACACTGCAATCAAGATTAATGTAACTCAAAGATTGAGTATTCACACAACCAGGGATGTTCTTAGGACAGGACCAAGCCATTTGAACACAGAAACTCATTTGAATATTATAATGAAAATATTGTTTTATACATTAGGTAATAAAAAAAACATTCTTGTGGAAACAAAATAACTCAATATACTGTAAAATACTTACTTACTTATTTTCGCTTGCAACACATCTTTAATTACTGAAAGAAATTTAATCCAGCAAAAAAAATCTATTCACATATTTCAACTCATCAAAGACCATGGATAATAAATTCCATGCAAAACACACAAAAAGTCTTTTCAGCGAAAATTAATTCCAACTAAAATAAGTATTTTACAGAATATATAACCATTTTCAAACTGATGTATTTGTTGATACATGTACATGTAACGGGGGAGGTGAGAGGTAGTCATTATTTATAGAGTTATTTACAGAAAAAGAAAACCAACAAACAGGCAACAATTTTTTTTAAAAATGTGTTAATTTATTATATCCCATCAACAGTAATTTAAATCATGAATAAACATTATGACAGAATGACAATAACCAAATAAATAAGTACAGTTATATGTGTAAAAGTTAACTAATGAAATAGCAGACAAACAGAATTCCATCATGGAAACAATTTACTAAAAATTATTTAATTTTTTTAGCATCTTTATAAAATGACAGTTGAAATGTTTTACAATTGCCAATTGGTCTCCGAGGAGGGGGTGACTTTTAACTCTTGTAGGGATAAGCTTTTACACTTTTCTCAAAAAATATTTAAAAATTTGTATAATAGTCATTCCAATATGAAAATTAATCATCAGGCAATTGAAGTGATGACTCACTGAGCCCTCCTCCAAGATTTGTAAGGTCTCCCTCATAGGATGTTTGAGTAGCAGCACAAAGTGTTATATATTTGAAAAATTATTTACATCAATGAACTGTTACTAAATGTTGCTTTGTTTTTTTACCATTTATCATGTCAGGGTCTTCAGAGTCCTGCAGGCATCTAATCCCAAACATTTGCTAATGGTAGATCATAATACATGTTCAAATATTCAATAAAAACAAACGTATCAAGTTCTCTCCAGATATTAAACCCAAAATTATGTTAAAAAAAAATTGTCATTGTCAAATGACTTCACCTTGTAAAAGTCAGAAGACTGTACTCTTGTTATTAAAAATGAATAAAATACAATAGCCTCTGACCATTCTCAACCTAAAGTAACGACCAGGTTATTAAAAATAAACAAAATACATTACAGCCTCAATAATAACTATCGGCAAAATTTGAAAGACTGTAATTATTATGAAATACAATAGCCTCTGACTATTCTCAACCTAAAGTAAAGACCAGGTTATTAAAAATAAACAAAATACCTTACAGCCTCAATAATAACTATTGGCAAAATTTGAAAGACTGTAATTATTATGAAATCCAACAGCCTCTGACTATTTGGTAAAAGTCAAAAATCAAAGAAATACAACTGTTAGCCTCTAAATATTAAAAAAAAATTGGTTCAGACACAATGCAAAAAAAACATTCAATTAATACATTCAATGACTATCGGTACTTCAAATCAGTGTTGTTTCTTATTTACATGTATAAACAAATTTGTAAAACTAGAAAGCTCTACAAGTTTCTTCCCAGCTCCATATGGTAATCTTAGTAATAAACTGCTTATATATGATCAAACATGAATTTAATAAATCCACCAAATACAGAAATTATTTTATTAGAAGCACACCTCAAAAAGCGGTGCATGGAGACCCAAACCGGCCTTTAACAAATACTTTAACTGAGTATGCATTTGCTAGACTATTGTGCTGTCAAAAACACAGTACCTTACAGGTTTTCAAGGAAGTGTATATTGACAGTTGCTACACAGAGGGCGATGACTTGAGGTGGCAGCACCCACAAAAAACTTTTGCTAGGTTTCGTTAACCAGTGATGCGCATATTTATTTTGGAGAGTAAAATACATGTTTATCATCTGAGAAGCACGTAATACAAAGATTTCAACCCAAATATGGGCGTTTGTATCCTCGTACAAGAACAATGCCTTCCTAACAAATGCCTACATTCAGCCAAAATTAATTAATTCAATTAATAGTTTTCTCTAAAATGTTGAACCAACTACATGTACACAGATTTTAGGAGAAAAATATGTCGCTATAAAAATAATTACCGGTATACTACATTGAATGTAACAATCAATTTTATAAATTTCTGTAGAAACATCCATGCCTAAGTAAAATTCAGCATAGGTACTTTTATTTAGTATTAGTATTAATATTCAATAAATCTATACTGCAAACTAAGTTTATCATATTAGAAAATGGTAGCTTTTTGTTACATTTATTGTATAAGGTACTTAAGCTTGCTATTAAAAAGATAGCGAACAATTCAGATATAGAAAATACTAAATACTGTGTTTGCTCTATTAATAATGCAAATACTGATGTACATTGCAGGTGTTTCTATGAGAAAAATGTGTCAAATTTTAATAATTCAGCACAACACAGGCAACTTTTGGTTTATATGCAGTTCTATTGGAGGTGCACTTCTAACATAGCAAATACAGAACAAAGCACAGAAAATCGCGATCACTAGCTGCACGTTGTCAAACTAATGTTTGATTGTGGGGAGGTGAATTGTCTATCATAGGTGTGTTCACAATGTCACATTATGTCAACTACCTTCATAGCTTGATGATAAATCTTACTTTAAATGATTTTAATAATAAGTTCTTTTTTATACATACAAGGAAGTTTAATAAACTGTAAAAGCATTCTTTTAGATTAACATTGCATAATTAGTGATTTCACTTCCCCCATTTATTGTGCTTACATGACATATTTTAACAATAATGTAGCATTTGGCTTACTACTGTAAAATACTCTATTTTTGCTTGAAATTAGTATTTGCTATCTATGCTGAAGGGATGATTAGTGAAAATAAAATCCATTGAATATGAATTTTTTTCTATATTTTACATTCAACTCATCAAAAATCAGTGAAACACAAAAATTGCAGCGGAAATAAGGTATTTTACAATAGTTCTTTAGGACAATGCAAATATTTTAAGCAAGATGTAAACAGTAAAAATATTAGATGTTGTTTAAATTTGCTAGAAAAACAATGAAAATAACAAAATTAATGGTTTTACGGTATATTGCAGAAGAGTCCATGAGTCTCTTCTCTGGGATATCTAAGGGATGCCGCAGTAATCTTTCATTTCACAACTATTAATCTCTATCTTATCATCGTTTTCATCAGTGCAATTCTGAAATAAAAAAAATAAAAAATATACCATAATATTAATTTTAAACTATATCCAATGACATTCTTGAAATAAAATAAGTAATATAAATACATACATGTATACCGTACTCGACCGTGTTAGCGCTCAGTGTCCTCAACTCAGAAAATAATGATTTGTTAGGGGTGGTCGTTTATCCGAGTACCCCCCTTGGAAAAGAAAGTAAATGATCATTTTAGTTCACCATGTGACAGATTGGGGGGGTATGTCTTTGGGGGGTAAAATTAGGAAATATGTTGCGTCGTCATTGCCTTTTACAATGAAGAAACCGAAATGTTCACAAAAAATATGCACATTTAGAAGGTTGCATTAGAATTGATGGTTGAAAAGTCTTGAGGGCAATTAAAGGGTGGTGGTAGTTGCGCCGCGTCGTGTTCGACAATACAACACCAACATATATCAGTCTACATCTGCGTATCCCTGGGTACCTGAAGTGTATGCATCGCGCATATGGTAACCAAGCAACCACAGTAACCAATATTAAAGGGTGGTTGTCGTGCCGCGTCTTGTTCGATATGGGACTCATAGCGATGTACACAACGCGTGTAAAATACATAGTTTGTTTACATGAAATTCGAACACGCACGGCGTAACGACCACTGCCCTTTAAACTTGCAAGTATCTAAATTGTTGCTGTTGGTATTTGACACGTACTACTTTATACATGAAAAACAGACAAAATAGTTGAAAAGTCTTGAGTACAGTTGAACTTGACTCTTGCTGAAAACTGACATAATTTGACACAACATAAGTCACAAAAATATTTGGGAAATGTTTTGCTATTCATAAATAACTTCTGGCATGACATACGGTACTACTTCATACATCAAAATATATTCAATAGAACAAATTAGAAGGGTTGTACAAACCCGTTTTTTTTGTTTACATAATCATACCTACCAGAAAATCTATGGAAATAATAAATTTCAATTATTACTCGTTAGGCTTAATTACAGATTACAGCCCTGTTGGAAACTACCGGTATTAGAGAATATACCCGAGACCAAAAGGAACACTCTAAGGTAACAATTCTCTAAAAAAAAAAAACTGACTAAGGGGTCACCCCCAGGACGACCATGCTGTCAAGGCCACTTATGTCTCAATTCTCCCAAATGTTTCCAGTGCAACACAGCAGGTCGTTCAGAAGCTTGTGGGGACGGAAATAATAAATTCCATTTATTACTCATTAGGCAGAGTAGCACGCTCACCGGACGTGGGGAAGCTCCGGCAGCTGGAATGCAAATTTGTTAACACAAAAATGCAGAAATGGTCAAAAAACTGAGAGAAATCTAAAACTACTCACTAACAAGAAGTCTTGTCCTGGGAATGCAACCAATGAACTGCTGGCCGAAAGGGCTAGCAGCTTTGGCCAACAAGAATGATTGCTTCAATTGGATATGTTGATCCTCAGCAACCACCAAACCGTCCACCGCGTCAACTATCTGACCCCCAAGGAGCGGGTCACGCACTCAAGGCCTTCTCCGCAGGTGAACTCATCTCCTGCTGGAGTAGGATAGGCACACTGACTCAGTACTGCCTCCCGCTCAACCAAAACCACTCCTGCCAAGAGGGTAGTATTGACTTGCAGGATGTTGCACATAACGACTTTCTGCGCAGCCAAAGACTAGTCTATTTGCTCGAGGATCGTGGTTCATTGCTGAGCACTCAGGTGGCCAGAACTTAAAAAGGCGAGCTGATGCTCTAAAGCCAAGGAAACCCATTCCATAAAGTTGATGGGCCTAAGTTCTGCCCACAGCACCCAAAGCACTTGCAGGCTCTGGTGCCAGTCAAATGACCATGCAACGTGGCCTTACCGATCTGTGCAACCTGCTTTAACAAAGGCATGGGTACCAGGATTGGAGCGGGGAACCCATGGTGGGGGATGTGGCATGAGGTGTCCAGAGGAGTTGGCCAGCAGGCGATGAAAAGGAATTCAAAGGCGGCTCAGCCATCCGGGGAGGTGGGATCCGCACGAAACAAAAGTCAGGCAGGCAGTATGGCCCTTCCCCCTCCCACCTGACCCTGGTCCTCCTGCGCTATACCCCGTGACTGCAGGAGGAAGTCCACTTTGGAGGTCAAGCAAATCAGCAAGGCCTTCCAAGCAGACTCGTCACCATAGGAAGCCTTTTTCACCCTGACTAACATCGATAGGGGAAGACAACAAGGTCTGTCCCTGTACTTGCGCAACCAACCTGGGTTGCATAAGCCTTTGTGGATTGGACCGGCTCAGCCCTTGAGCGCTGTACCAATCCCACCTCAGCACTCGCCATCAGTGTCAGCACCCCAGAAGGAACACACTGCGTCCCAGTGTTGGTAACAACGGTGGTTGGCAGTTCTGTTCCCCTGGCAAGAGTGGAGTGTACCCACCTTGGTACTACCACACAGAGGAACTAACTCCACGATGGGAGAATGTCCCGCCATCGGCTCGACTGACACCTACGTCGCCTAAGAGGTGAACAGCTGCGAAGGTCTTACCTCAGTCATCGATCCTGCCACATTGAGCAGAGAGTCAGACCATGGCAATTCTCGGTCCCCCTCAGTCTGAAATAGGAGGCAAGCCTCGTCTTGGCTACCAAGGGGAGGGAGAGATTTTTCACTCAGCGTTATGCAATTGCTTGCCCTTAGCTTTCAAACCCGCCTCAAAGTGTCCCACGATTCATAGGCAAAATCCTGAGTCACGTTTACAACCATAGGACGAGTGGCAACACATGTGTTTCTGGCATTTCTAAGTGGCAAGATGAACATATCTTATGTGCTGAAGGTTTCGGAGGCATGTTCTTAGTCTTTTTCAATGACTTAGGCATGATGCAATCTAAGAAAAGATAAGAAATGAGTTTGTGAAAAATGAGAAAATTCACCTCACCAAAACGAGAATCAAGTTGGCAATTCAACAAAAACAGGCAAGATCTGGGGCCTTTATAATGGAAAGCCTTTACCGTAATCTAGAAACTGCTATTGTCGAACGTCCAATACCACTAGATTTCTAGGAAGCGCAGAAAATACTTTAATCTGCCTCTTTTGTTACGCAAAGCACCACGGAAAAAATGTTCATGTTAGTTGTGCCGGAAACAAAAGAGAATTGAGCCGGAAGTGGCCTCAAGAGTGTGAGTATTATTCTCTAATAGTTTCTGCCGGGCTGTAATCTGTAGTTAAGGCCTAACGAGTAATAAATGAAATTTATTATTTCCACGGATTTTCTTGTAGTTGATGTAGTAAACTTACAAGATTAATTCAAAATAAGTTCTACTTACAGCCTGTTGGCGCCAGTCATTCAATTTCTTTATCTCATCATAATAATCTATTTCCCATTGCATGTGATCTTTTCTACAATTGGCATCATTTTCAATTGCTAAAAGACAAAAGGAATCATATTTTAAAACACAATTTGAAGTCAATTTTGATTTTCAATGTAAATAGATTGAATCAAGCATTTTATTGAATTATGTCGCACAATTTTGGTGACCATTTTGTATTTTTTAAATTTTTTTCTAAAATTTTATTTATTAATTTTGTACCAAATTTACAAAATTACTCAATGGCTACAGGTCTTAATCACATTTTTTGAAAGCAAATCTTGAATTAAGCAGTTTTATTTTGCAAAAGGTGACAAATTTTGCCCTTGGCATTGCAATAGTAACAGGCCAGACTTTGTGAAAACAGTTCAAAAGGTGAAGTGGTCAGAGTCTTCAATAATAATATTTAGAATTCTAATTTAATGTAAATTGATTTTTACCATTGGGGACAGAAAAACATGCTACAAGTCAAGATTAAATAGTGCCTTTGTGTTTTGTTGCTTTTATTGCATCACTTTCCTATATATGTATTTCATATGAATTACTGAGCAGGGTGGGTGTAAACTTAAACCTGAATATTAAGATTGTTTGAGATGATGCACTGATTGATAATAAAATCTAGTTTGAGAAAAATTGTACAACAGTTATAAGAGGTTATAAACAGCAAGTGAAGGTATAAGGTAGCAGATATAAAACCTCTCTAGAGGAAATTAGTACATTCAAGAAAGATAATAACTTTCACTTTAATATGCTCGGTTATCATTTCCCACAAAATATGCTAACTTTTCCCAGAGAGGTCTTACAATGTACATCTGCTACCAAATAACCAAGCATTACATTTATAACATACTTGCTTAAAAAATATAATTTGAATATTTATATCACGTTGCAATGTGTAAATTCTCCCAATGTCTTATTCTTGGATCATACCACTATAACAAGGGGTGTACTGCGTTTTGAAATGCATCTAATAGCTTTGTAATACTGGTACTATAAGCGTAATACTTCAATTTGTAAGGTATTGCATAATATAAAGATTTCAATGAAGATTTGAGGTTGTGAATGTGTGAACTGGCATTCTAATACATTTTCAGGAGACAGAATTTACTCGCCGTGTAGTGCACTTTTTATTTTGTATTAATTTTCAGGGCTAAAACCACATACCATAGAACATATGCGTAGATGAACATGGTGCACAACGAAATCAACACTAATTCTTTTTACTTCCAAGAAACTAGAAACATACACTATTTCTACACATAATAATTAAGGATTTGACCTTTGAACCTTTACATTAACACCGAATTACGGAATAGACAACAGAGCCCAAAAATGTCAATAAGGCAATGAGCAGATATTGTCAATTGTGTTTGATTTATGAGCTAAGCAGCAAAGCATGTAAACATTTATCATAGAAAGATTTGTCACTAATTTATATTTTTAGAACTAGAAATACCAGGTTTTCATAGCCTTATATGTATCATGCATATGCAATAACTATGAACAGTGTTCACAGGTGTGTGCAGAATATAAAGTATTCCATTCCCAGATATAGGTCCTTGTTTCAACCAATCAGTTGGCTAGAATCAGAATAACCATTATATAAATTGAGTTAATAATCGAAGAGAAAAGAAATTGTTGATAACAATAACAAACTTGGCAACTAGGATGCAAACGTACCTATACTGTAAAATGACTAATTTTCACTGGGTTTAAATTTCGCTGATTTACCATTTCAGGCATATTCAGTGGGTTTTAAATTCACAGTTTTATCTTTTAGATAATGTGTTCTATGCTAAATTTTACATATTCACTGGGTTTTAATTTAGCGCATTTTTCAGTCAGCGAAATAAGCAAAATTAAAACCCAGTGAATAATTAATCCTTTTACAGTATTTTCAAATTCAATATATTTCAAACCATAGAGAATCCTAGAAATAAAAACAAACTTACCTCCTGGTTTTATTTCAAAAACCTTTGTGACATGATCAACTTCACATGTGTAAGTTTGCGTTTCTTCTCCAACTATTGCTTCCAGCCAGCTTATAATTTTCGATTCATTATTAGCTGCACAATCACTCTCCAACATCACAGAACCTGTTTCTATTACTTCAATACCATCTTTATTTAACCATCTGTATTCTGTATCAAAACATCCAGTGAACATGCAATACAGATTCACAGTAGTATTTTCTGGGTAGGTGATGTTCTCTGGTCCTAAATTCAGATTGTGGATTTCTGGAACATTTGTAGAGAGAGTCTGATTTGCTGATATGAGCCAACACTCTGCAACAATCTCACCACCAACTGTACAACTGTACACTCCGCTATCAGATTCCTTGAAGTTTGTGATAAGTAACCCAACACCATTCAGTCTAATGTACTTGACTCCATCTACTGTTATTTCATCACCGTCTTTCATAAATATGGCACCCATAACTTTACAATCAAAAATTACTGCACTATCCAGGGGAACCTTTTTTACACATTTGTCTGAAATGATGAAATTTCATGAAAATACATGTAAATGATTCTTATTTTTCTCATAAATGAGAAGAAGAAAAAACAGTAAACGTGTTAATTTTAACTAGTGTTTCAGTTTTGTATTCACTGGGTTTTTAAATCATTGACTCTCTAATGAAAAAATGATTTCTATTTTTATAAGTTCACACAGAATGAATTTAGTGTATCTCACTTTTATAGAAACAAACATAGTTGAACTCTGGTGACCTTGCCCTTTGTTATGTAATATTATTCCTTTTATCATAGTTTGTTTCAATATGAATATGTATTGTCATAATTAATTTTGAATACAAACAAGTTTTGGAGTTGAAACAACAGTGGGAAAGCATTTTAATGAATGTCCTTGATAGATGTAAATATCTTACAAAAACATTGGTGCCTAATTTGTTTAATTATTTTAAGGAACATAATTTCCAGCTTTATTCAAAGTAATTCAGATTTTTTAGTATACAAATGCTGCATCTCAGAAAAGAAGTGCTGCATTTAGACGTGAATAGAAAATCTTAGCTGGCTTTTGCCCAGGTATTTTGTACAGCTGTCCGTCAAAAATTAATGATTTACTAAGACAAATATGAACTGTCTTATTATATTCATTGTATGACTACTGTATTATTTGAAGAGTAAAAAAAACATGTTGCAAGCTCTGCTTTGTAATGCAAATCAACTTATAATAAATAGTTAGTTGGTGTCCAGTGGAGTGAAAGTCAACAGTACTTTAGCCTCCTGAGGATCTACATCTTCAAACACTGCATCTTTGTTTTTAAAGTGCGTTTTTAAATTATTATTATAAAAGCTCTATCATTCTGTTCTAATAGCTGAAACAAATTCCTGTGAATTTTCATTTGTCGAATGAACTGAATACAGAATACCTATTTTTTAGTACAATTTGCTTTTCAAAATGTGGATGCAACATTTTGCTTTTTATGTATTTATTGTGTATTGCTTTTGTGATTTGATAACTTTTGACTAAACAGATTTTCTATTAGCTTCAGATCTTGATCAAAGTTTGGCACCCAATTCATAGTAGTGCTTATATTGATTTTCTGACATCTTGTTTTCTGTAAAGATTTTAGGTTTACAAATGTGTATCAGCCTGTGCAAAAACTCTCTCCATGAGTTGGTTTTGAAACCCAGTATAGTATTTCCATGTGATTTGGGAGATACATTACCAAGGATATTATTACAAGATAAATGATTTGCTTCATTGAACACAGACAACAATGCATATTTCCACTGAGATCAGTGACCTTTGAATGTGTATCACCAGTGATCAGTCAAGTAGAAACAGTCAAAATATTTTATCAGATTTTCTCAATTTTTGCATGATATTTTTATACAGGACATCTGTCGTTCATACTCAGGGAAGACTTTATACTGATGAATATGATGACCAAGTTTGATAAAGTTTGGAATAGAATTAGTAAAGTTATTGTGCACACAATAACAATTATTATCGACAACGACAACGACGCCGACGCCGGACAGAAATCTTTTCCTTAATATACCTTTCCCTTCCATCTTTGATGTTACGGGCAAGGTAATAACAAAACTAAAACCCAGAAAATAATAACCAGGGGTAATGACATTACAGAATTTAAATCAGTATATAATTTCAGATGAATCAAACATTGTGAATAAAAACATGAAATTGAATTCACAATTTAGCTGATATATAATTTTATTTTATTTTGCACAAACTAGATTAAACGCTCTTTCATTAAAAAAATCATGAAAGATGCTAACAAAATGTGAATTAACTACCATGAAGAGATTATTTTTTTGAGAAACATTTTCACAAGTTTCAGTCAGAAAATAAAACCATAACATTTTGTTCTGGTGATTGGTATTTTTGAGACAGCAAGTCACATTGACTGCTGTCGAGTTACAGTTAGTTATGTAGCAGTGCACATTTCATTCAGATTTTCACAGAAACAGACGCTATATTGCATAATTTTGGCAAACATTGAAAGTAGGGACAACTAAACAATTCTTAAAACAAAATTTTTCGAAGTGTACTGTGTTCTGGAAAGACATATTAAAAGAAACAAACTGACAGAAAACTATTGCGATTATTTTGTTTTAATACAGGGAAATGAAAGATAAACATGAATTTACCTAGTGGTTTATCATTAGGTTGAACTGAACAAAGTGCAACATTTCCTCCAGGAACATCTTGTATGAGATTACTGTATTATGAAAAAGACAAAAAAACAATCAATTTGTGTATAATGCTCTGCAGGGCATACAATGTACATTTGAACAAGAATGGATGACCAAACAACCCATATTGAACGAAAGCACACTTCATCTCACAAGTTGATTTAGTTATTGTACTAATATAATTATTTATTTATACCAGTGATTATACCACACTTATAAAATTAAAAATGGAGAGAAAAGATGGAGAGTCAACAAAACAATGTTGATGCTAGCAGCCCTGAAATCTGCACAATTATACATTCCAGAAACACATTCACTTCACCACATTTCCACAGGACTTGACTGTGAACTGCAAGTCAAAAACTGAAGCTGGGCCTATTTCACAAATTATGTGATACTATTCACTACAAAAAAACAAGAAAACAAAATACCAATCAGTATACATAACCCTTGTTTAATTTTTTGTATTTCTGTTCCAATAATTATATAACCTCAGTTTATCAAACTACATACCCCTCAAGTCACCGGCTTGGCATAGCAGCCAATGAGTCACGACAATTTCCTCAATGACATCACAAATTGAATTATTTCAATATTGAAACTTTTTTGTTCCTGAATTTATCACTACATGCTTTACCCCTGCAGACGAATTTGTTGATCAATCACGCTATGCTTTTTCGGAGTCGTAGCTGCAGTTTATATCAGAATCCAATATATGTATCTCCAGCTGCACAAGCTTCACCTGCTGTATCCCATGAACAGTGTGGATCTCTGACTGCCACACAGGAATAACAATCTGTATGTCTATCATGATATTGCATTGGTACTTGTATTGTTATCTAATGCAATGTAGTACATATGACCTACCCCGTATCATCACCTCCAGTTACACAAGTACTGCTTTCTGTATCCCATGAACAGTGTGGATCTCTGGCTGCCACACAGGAATAACAATTCGTATATCTATCACAAAACTGCATTGGTACTTGTATTACTTTGTCGTCAAAGGCAATATACAGTGACTCATCAGACATTGTCATAATCAAAACATCCCTTGAATCCTATGAATATAAATGTATTCAGAAGGCAAGTACTGTAAAATCTGTATTAAAAGCAGCGGTTTCTATTAAAATGGTACAATGCAACAGATGGGATGCGGCTTCTATTAGATCATCTACACATATGAGAAACGGTGAATTTGAATTGTTCAAAAAGAATGGGTGCGGCTTTTATTAGGGATGCGGCTTCTAATACAGATTTATAATCAGATAAATGACTTGTTGTAAAATGCGGTATATTTGGACGGGGTTTATACTCGAACAACTAAGGTATGTATCAAACTTCAATGAAATGTGATAATTATGCAAATAATGCAAAGATGTAAACTCAAATTTTATCGTAATCCAAATCTCAAAACTCAAAAATCAGGTCTTTAGCATTGTTCTCAAGCACATATATACAGTATACCAAGTGTTAATCATGCAATGCTTGGTTTGTAGAAAATTTGGTAATTATTATGCATAATTTTCAACTCAAAACCAATTATTAGTCTGTGCATTGTTTCATGAACAGGTATGTATCAAGTTTCATTATCATCTGATGAATAATTCTTCAAAAAATCATTGGAAAGCTTAAAGGTCAATTATTATGCAAATAAGGTAATTAATATGAACAGATTTTATGTCAACCAAATAAGGTATGCGCAATGTCACAGAGTATCTGTGTACTGAAACTTGTGTTTAGAACTTGAGACTTATTACATGGTTAATGATTTTAATTACCTCGTCAACAATAAACTCAGTTATAATATACTTGTATGCAGCCTGATCACCATACAAAGCTTTAATAACAGTTCCTTGATCTAGAAAGAAACAGATCATTTTATTTTCATTTGTAAATTGATTATTAAAATAGTTTAACATAATGAAGTCATATTAACACTATGAATTTTATTGAATCCATTTGTTTTGAAACATTATTCAAAATCATTAGCAAATAAAATTAGAGCAAACAATCTAATAGGAAGCTGAAATGGTCAGCCAACAAACACATCTTTGAGAATAAAAAACATGACAACTTGCATGATCATTAAGGTTTTCAAACATGTACAAAATTTAAGATATCAATGTTTGAGCCTTTCATATATGCACATGTACAGTTCTGATGACAGCATCACTTAAAATCTGACATTTACATTCCAAGTCTTAGAGCTAATATACTCATTTTAACTACAGCAAGCTTAGATTATAGCAAAGCAATCTAAAATATGACTCAAACTAGGTAAATACAACAAAGAATATGTTGAAATTATTGAGTGAGGTGTGAGGTAAGAGCCAGCTTAAAAGTTAAATAACGCTTACAATGGTACATTGTGTACCATATTTGTAAACAGGATTTAGATTTTGAGTGAAACATTTGCCTGAAATATAAAAAGTGAATCCTACAAGCATTCTTTATTTGGACACATACATTAAAAAAAATTTCACATTCAAGCATCTCCCCATAAATAATAATTTGAATTTTTAATAAGCAAAAAATTAGTGTTTTTCAATGGTTGATGGATAAATCATAACAAATATTACTGGCATACATGTATGTCTATGAATATTACAATTTTACAAGAGGGATTTTAGTTTTCCTGATCAGTTAATTTTGGCACCTACAGTAACAGTAGGGGAAATTCCCACAGTATATACAACTAACCTGTTCCAATGTACATAACTTTATGTATTGTGCCAGCTATATCTGGTACTTCGGCAACTAAAATTTTCGTAAACTGTTTTCCAAGCCCCTCTGATGTCAACAATGGCAGTGAATCTGTTGTCTGTGATTCTATGGAAGGCACTGAATCCCACATCAATGGATGACTCTTGAGAGCATTCAAGGTTGTTTCTGGTATGTTTTTGCTGTCGTCATCACACTAAATAAAAAACAAACCATGCATGGCACAGTCCCCATTAGTTATCAAATTTAAGATATATAGTTTTGTTTATAGTAATATAGCTAGAATATAACCATGTCAGGAATATTATTATGATGATTGTTTAACATTAAAATGATTGACATTTGTATCTGATCGTCAAACAAGTACTTGTCCATATTGAGAGATATTGCTCTGGAACAGCATTAATTAAAACAAAATCAAAGCATGTCAGAGATATGGCTCTAGAAGCCCAATCAACAAAATGGCCACCAGTCAGCCATTTTGAATCCGATCTTAAAAATAAAATGACGTGCATCAGGAACACTTAATGTCTAATGTATGCACCAAGTTTGAACAA